TTTTCTTAGCTTTTCATACATCCGTTGCGGACATAAAAATAGCTCAAAAGACGTGAAATTAATGATGTCTTGAGTGAAATGCTTCTGACATTTAATGCGAAATTTTCGCTGAATTTAAGGATAAAACTTTCAATTCATTTTTAAAAATATGTTATTTTTGAGTAATTACTAATTATATTGGGATTATTAGACAACAATATTTTCTGTAATCCATTAAATATGATATTATATTATTCAGTAATATTTATTAATATATTGTTATTGGAAACAAATATATTATTATTGGAAACATAAAATATATTTATTACAAGAATTTATCCGTAGATTACATGATTGGAAACTTTGAAATGTCAATTAAGTTTTGAATTGAAGCAAAATGTGTAAAATAAGCGATCATGTACATTTTGTTGTATTCTTGTTTCTGAACTTTAAATTCTAAAATTAATTTAAACACTTTTTAAAACAAATAATTTATTTTTAATGTAATGTAAAGCAATTCACAGAATCAACATCATTAATAACTCTTCGTTTAAATCGTTTATTTATTTTTAAATCAAGTTATTATTTGTTTAATTTTACAAATATATATTTCTAATGAAATTTTCGTTGTTATGAATTACATTAAAATCACTTTAAGATCATATCTATTAAACGCAACACATCTTTAATAATACAAAAACTATAATAATTTTTTAATGAATTCTTTCTTCAGATAGTTTTAAGTCATTTAAAAAAGTAATTATATTTAGTTCAGTGACTGAAGAAACAAATAAAAAATAATTTTAATGAATTTTAAGCCGGTTTTGAAAGGAAGCAAATTTAAATAAATAAGAATTAATTTTCTTTTTTTATCGCTTCACTTATTATAAGGAATATTATATTTAATGTCACAAAACTAGTTGTTTTCATTGTCTTGTCTTACAGTATATATTAATTATTAGTTTAAATTCTTTACAACAAATTTAGGTAAAATATCCGTTATTTTCGGCTAATTTTTATATATAATTTGTATAAACATTTAAGTTTACAATTTTATATATTTCTTAATTATATCATTACATTGTTATAAATAAAATTATAGTCAATAATTAAGTTAAATTATTAAATTTAATTAAAACTAAACAATATATGTTTTCAAATATTTTTAAAATGTGTCATTTATTATTTAAGAGAAAATATTATTTATTTTTATTAATTATTTGTAACTCAAATAAAACTTATAAACAGTAAGACACAGAATGGCACAGAAATATTTAACAATTTCCCAATTAATGTAGAAATTGCCATTATTTTCCTCCAATTTTTATATTTTTACTCAATATTTATTATAAAATAAATATTAATAATTTAAAAATATTTATTAATTATTGTACAAATATTTACTTATCATTAGATTTATTAATAAACAGCATATTTATGAATGAATGACTCGCAAAGACATCCAAAAGATTTATTATAAAATAAATATTAATAATTTAAAAATATTTATTAATTATTGTACAAATATTTACTTATCATTAGATTTATTAATAAACAGCATATTTATGAATGAATGACTCGCAAAGACATCCAAAAGACACTTTTATAAATAATAATCTCAAAGTTAAAGCAATTTACAAAAACATATTTTCTTAGGGATGTAAACAGAATCCGATATATATTTATACATAACTTTACATTTAGTCCAGAGATTTACAAATAAGTCATTCATAAAATGACAGATAAAAGAAAGATATTTTGTTTAAGAGAAGTGCAAAACATTTCTCCACAAAAAAACAAACTTCACTTTACTTTAAAACAATAAATTCTTTGAGCAAAACATACAAAATAATTACCTTTTTGTGTTTGTGGTGTCTATGAGTGGTATTCTTCAAAATGAGTCGATTGTTTTGATATACTTTATGCGTTTGAAGCAACACTTCGTGAACACTATTGACATTTTGTGTCCGATTCATGACTTAATACATAATATGGAGAAACAAACAGAACTACAAAACACCGAAATGACAGACAGAAAGAGTGGAAATGCGAGTGAATTCTGTTTAACAACAAAAAGTTTTTTCTTCTTTTCAAAGAAGTTAATTGAGTTATGAATGAAAAAGCAATGCATTTGAGGAGTGAATGAGGTTTGCGATGCGTGTCATTGTTATCATTGTCTCTGCCGTCTGTTTTTTCACTGATCATCTCTTAACTCGTTTTTCACTCAAGAGTTGGTTTTGCGAAATAGTTGGCCGACGAAAGGGGCCGTTCACCCCCTCCCTGGCCTTCAATACAATACTCGTTACACTGTCTTAGCCTTAGAGTCTATGGCAATCAATACTGTGGCCTTTTTCTAGCTATAAATATAACACCACATCTGACCGTACAGTAGGTGTGACCCTAAAGACCTCGCCAGACATGTGGTGCGAATGGTTTATATAAACATCACATAATTCCCATCCCATTCCCCCTCATTCCCGGTGCCATCAGATTTGTTACACATGTTTTGCAAAACTTGAGAGTTTGAGACAAACAAGTGAAACCTCAATCACTGGAACCTCTCGTTTCATGTCTTTAGTTGATTCTTATGAATGATAACCAACGATGAGATGTGTCTCTCGTAATAACAGTTGCCATCAGTTCTTTGGTTTAGGGTTTTGCCACAACTGAAACCCTAAACTTAGAAATGCTTTCGTTATTGAGACTAAAAATATAACATCTCTTCAATTAATATGAAAATATTATGACATTTTGTTACATCTTTTCAAATGAAAATATTTGGGATCAAATGAATTAATTTTGAAATTCATTAATATAATTAGTTTCACATCTAAATAGCAGATATGCCATTTTATTATATTTTAAAATCTCAATTGTATTTCATATCATCTAAAGTTTTTTCTGAACAAACATTTACTTAATTTGCCATAAAATATAAGAAAATATTTTTATTTGCATTTAATAATTTTAATAATTAAAATAAATTTATTACTCAATATCATTACTGTAAATTTTTCATTGAAATAACTTTGATATCTAGTTTTATTTTCTTTGGTAAAAAAACTGATATCAATAACTTTCTCCATCCGTCCATTAGTTTTAGAATATTCCCGTCTATTATACAGAACCAGAGAGACCACCGGTGAGAGCACCTGAATGGTAGTCTATACCTGAATGTGACTTTTATCTCACTATTTGGTAAAAGAGATTGAAGAGTGTGGTGTCAACCGTCAATTCATACATACCTTGATGGACATGTCTGGCCACATCTTTTACAATTTACATTATGCTCACTATTTATGATAATTTCGTAGTATTCAGGCAAATTCATATAATAAATCAAAGTATTGTTTAAATAGTGTATAAATAGTGTATTATACTATAATAAGTAGATTCCTGTAAACTTATGTAAATTTATTAGACAATTATTATTGAGCGAAATATGACAAACACTAGACTTTCTCATAATATCTGGCATTAAAGTCTTGGTTGAGTTAAGATATTCGCAATGTCTTGAGTGAACAAATATTATACCCAATGTCTGCGGGAATCGAGTGAATAATATTGTCTGAAACCATTTGAAACGGTTTGTTAGCAAAATAAAAAATCATTTCAATCATTAGACGACAAAAAATAAAGTCAATGATCACTAAAATTATTATTATACGAGTCTTTAACATATCATTCAATTTAAATTTAAACGTTAAATAAATAAGTAAATGATTTGTTAAAACAGTCGTTAAAGAGTTTATAAAAATCAATTTTGTAATATTTTGTTTTATTAATTTAGTCAATACAACAATTCAAACACTTTTCACAATAATTTAATACAAAAGAAAATAAGAGAAAATAAATTAAATGACAGACAAAACGCTATAATAATTGTTTTTCATTTGTGACGATAATTGTAAATATGTTTTACAAATATAAATTCCTCCATTCAGTGATCACTCTATAATTATATTATTATTTTGTAAATACAAAATATAAGTTCATAATTATATATCAATTACAATAATGAATACCTCTCTGAGCCGAACATCATTTTTCCCCAATGAGTGAGTTTATCATTGGATGCGAAAGCAATTGGACCGGAGATGACTCGTCCGATAACGCTATCAAACTTTAGTTTCCCCTTAAGACAGACGGTTATGACAACTGATATTTCGTCAATAAATCCGTGCGGAGCTGTCATTCAATAACACAATTAATAATTGCCTTTTAATGTTACTTCTAATTTAATCTCTCTCTCTCTCTCTCTCTCTCTCTCTCTCTCTCTCGTAATATTTAATAACATTTTTCATTACAATAGTAACGACAAGGACATAATATTATTTAAAAATTTAATAAATATATTTACCGACAAAATTAAACGTTTGGTTATAGACAGGTTCGGTGTTGTTCTCCACCAAAACTAAGTTTGTTTTCATTGATTTAATTTTATTTGATGCACACATTAGAGTCACTTTAACATATGTTTCCACGTTTGCTACCAATTTAAATCAAATATAATTAATTGACCTAGCACTAATTAATGTTTAATATTTTACAATTGTTGGTTCCTTTAAGTAAACTCTCAAAGAGTGAACATTTCTTAATAAGAAGTCTTTTTGAGCGCAATATTCCGACCGTCAGTCTATCGGTTGACGACGAATAACTCAATGAAACCAATAGTTGCGGTCCATTGGCATTGAGAACACACTTTACAGCAACAAAACAAAATCCAATTATTATTATACAAATGATAAAAATTAGAAAAACACATGGAAAAAACTGTTTGCAAAAACATACGGATGTCTGAGACTTAAAGGGAAGGTTATGTTTATTGGATTCGCCGGCTTTACTCATACAACAGAGGGGTAGTACTATATGTCCGATGGCGTCAAACCGTCCCTGTCTTTCGTGATCATAGAGCGATAGTCTTAGGACCAGATTCTTAATGGCCTCGAATTTGTCGACTTCGAAGATGAAGTCTTCGTGAAAGTGAGGGTTTAATGTGTTCTTCACTTTTCGGGACGATTGCACAGAAACGGCATCCTTTGCCGTAAAGCTGTTCCGCAGATTTGCCTCATTTTGTTTGTCCATTAAATTCAGTTTTATAATCGTGTCGTATGTCTTCCGCCG